GATGCTGGGAATCAAACCCGGGTCGGCCGCATGCAAGGCAAACGCCCTACCCGCTGTACTATGACTCCAGCCCCTGTATTTAGTTTTTTTTAGGCCACATGTAGCTGTGCTCAGGGCTGGCTCCTCGAAGGTTCAGGAGACCCTACAAGGGACTGAACCCGGGTCAGTCACAGGCAAGGCCGGTGCCCTCCCCGCTGACTGTCCCTAAGGCCCCTGCCCAAGGTCTTTCTTTTTGGTTGGTTTTGTTTTTGTTCATGGGGCACACCCGCTGATGTTCAGGGCTGACTCCTGCCTCAGCGCTCTGGGATGACTCTGGGAGGTGCACAGGATTCTATCGGATGCCCAGGATGGAACCCAGGTCGGCTGCATGTGCAAGGTCGGCGCCCTCCCCACTATACTATCTCCCCCCATCGCGCCCCCCAGTTTTTTTTCCTTTTTGGGTCACACCCAGCAATGCTCAGGGATTCCTCCTGGCTCATGCACTCAGGAATTACTCCTGGCAGTGCTCAGGGGACCATATGGGATGCCGGGGATCGAACCCGGGTCAGCCGCGTGCAAGGCAAACGCCCTATCCCCTGTGCTATCGCTCCAGTCCCCCCACCCCCAGTTATTAAATGTTCAGAATCCTTCCCGTTGGCATGTCGCGAGAACCATGGAATGCACTCAAGTCATCAACTCTGATGATAACTGAGTTGTGGTGGAGAGGAGGGGTTAGGCACACCAGCAGGGCTGAGAGGCTTTTTTTTTTTTTTGGTCACAACCTGCGATGCACAGGGGCTACTCCTGGCTCATGCACTCAGATATTACTCCTGGTGGCGCTCGGGGGACCCTATGGGATGCTGGGAATCGAACCCGGGTGGCTCGCGTGCAAAGCAAACAAACGCCCTACCCGCTATGCTAATGCTCCAGCCTGGAGAGGCTATTTCTGACTCTGTGCTCAGCAGTGCCCCCTGGTGGTGCCCAGGGGAATTCACTGCCGTACCCCAGATCAAACCACAGTTGCCCCTAGAACTGGAATTTTTTGTTTGTTTTGGGTCCACACACTGCGATGCTCAGGAATGACTCCTGGCTCCGCACCCAGGAATCACTCTCGGTGGGGTTCAGAGGACCCGATGGGATGCCGGTGATTGAATTCGGGTCAGCCATGCGCAAGACCTGAGTCCTCCCCACAGTCCTATCGCTCTGGACAGACCCTGCACCTGGAATTCTGAGCAATCCAAATTTCAGCAAGGATGAAGGAGGCTGACAGACAAGAGGCCTCGGAGAAGGTTTGGCTGATTTCACATGCAGGAGACCTGGGGATCCCCACAGCTCTCAAGCACTGCTGAAAATAAGGACTGATGGGGCTGGAGCGATAGCATAGCGGATAGGGCATTTGCCTTGCACGCGGCCAACCCGGGTTCGATTCCCAGCATCCCATCTGGTCCCCTGAGCACTGCTAGGAGTAATTCCTGAGTGCAGAGCCAGGAGGAACCCCTGTGCATTGCTGGGTGGACCCAAAAAGCAAGGGAAAAAAAAAAGGACTGAGCTGGGAGTAGCCCCCCAAATAGCAAGGGATGCAACCCCGACCCACCCGAAGGAACAGGAGAAATAAGCAGTAACAATGGGGCGATGCCCTTCACGATGGAGACAGTGGAGGCTGCCAGTGGTCTGGAAAACAGACTCACAGGTGGGGGCCCCCTCATTCCCCGAGAGAGGTTGAGGGTGGAAGCAGAGCCAGCTTTCTGGGAGACCCTTTAGGGAGAATTAAAGCAATTTTTTTTTCAAAGAAAATAACAGATCTGGGGCTGGAGTGATAGCACAGCGGGTAGAGCATTTGCCTTGCACGCGGCCGATCCGGGTTCGATCCCCAGCATCCCACAGGGTCCCCCAAGCACTGCCAGGAATATTCCTGAGTGCAAAGCCAGGAGTAACCCACCCCTGTGCAATGCCGGGTGTGACCCAAAAAGAAAAACAAAAACAAAAACAGGTCATAGGTTGGAGACAGTACAGCGGGTGAGGCACTTGCTTTGAACTTGAACGCAGCTGACCTGGTTTTAATTCCCCAATATCACAAAGGGTCCCTGATCGATCCCTGAGTGCAGAATGAGGAGTCACTGCTTGGCATGGCCCCAAAACCAAAATAAAACAGGTCCCTGGGAGAGAAGCACAAGAGGACAGGGTTCAGGTTCTAACCTGGCATGAGTGACCCCGGGTCCAACCTGGGTTCTGCTTTGGGTCTCCCGAGCCCCACCAGGAGTCATCCCTGAGCACAGAGCCAGGAGTAAGCCCTGAGCACCACCGGATGTGTCCCCAGAGCACCTCAATACTAATGAACAGATCCAGCCAGAACAGAAGTGTTTTCACAGCCTGACACACTCTACCCGGCCCGGGAAATGGGTTCAAAGTGTTTTGCTTGCAGGTGGAGGTCCCAAATTTTGATCCCCTCGACCAACTGTTTCCCCAAGCACCACTGGGAGCGAACCCCAAGCAACACGCCCAAGGTAACCCCAAACTCCATTTCTTCTGACCCCAAAACCAAATAAATAAAACAGGATTGGTCCAGGTAAAACCTTTGCATTGGCCTTCTAAGATACAAAGAAAATGACAGAGAGACATTAACTACCTTTATAGCTGGAGCGATAGCACAGCGGGTAGGGCGTTCGCCTTACAAGCGGCCAACATGGCCGACCCGAGTTCGATTCCTCCGCCCCTCTCGGAGAGCCCGGCAAGCTACCGAGAGTATTCGATATGCCAGACACAGTAACAACAAAGTCTCCAATGGAGACGTTACTGGGCCCGCTCGAGCAAATCGACGATAGCTTCATGTGGTGAGCATGGCCAGGCAGAGGGACATGCCCTTTTTGGGGGGTATCTTCAGTTTGGGGGGGGGAGGGAGCAGCTTGGTACTACCCCATCGACTTCACTTCCACATGGAGAAACTTCTAGAATGTTGGGGACCGGAGAGATAGTATAGCTGGTAGGATGCTTGCCTTGCATGCGGCCAACCTGGGTTCAAACCCTGGCATCCCATAGGGTTCCCCCGAGCTGGCCAGAAGTGATTCCTGAGTGCAGAGCCAGGAGGCACTCCAGAGCACCACCAGGCGTGGTCCAGAAAGCAAAAAGAAAAAGAAAGGAAAAGAAAAGAAACTTCTAGCATGTCTTTGTTTATTTGGGGTTTTGGTGGCACTGGGAATCAACAGAATCCAGGGACACACACACACACACACAAACACACACACAAACTGGGAATCAACAGAATCCAGGGACACACACACACACACACACACACACACACACACACACTGGGAATCAACAGAATCCAGGGACACACACACACACACACACACACCCCAGGCACTTTGGCAGGACAGAAATGAACCCAGAGATTCTCAAGTGGGTTGCAGATCTAAATGCCAGGACAGTCGCCCAAAAGAGGGCACAGGACCTGAGTTCCCACCAGCAGGAAGGAAGCAGATAGAGCAGATAACACAGATCAAAGCGCTCTCCAGCAGCCAGGGAGGGAGCGCAGGGAGCCTTGGACCGCTACTGCTTTCTCTGCAGACCTCCATGAGGTTCACTGCTCTGCCCCAGCTGACGGGAGCAGACGGCGGGCAGCCTAAGGGAGGGACAGTGCATTTTCCCCCACACCCTTTCTGTGTCTCTAAAGCCACGCTGGGCTCCAGCTCTGGGAACTGTGTGGTCCAGGGCCGGCCGGGATGCAGAGCAAACGGGAGGGGAGCCTTTGGGCAGGAAATGCTGTAGAAAGAGGCCTCGGTGCCCCCATGGCCCCCGGCAGCTACCTGCGCTCCAGCGAGCTGCATCTCACCGGCAGTCCTGCTTGGACACGTCCTCTGGGCGGCTCAAAGCGCTCAAGACTGCATGCAGGAGTCCCGGGTTCCGCTCTCCAGCACCTCGGGGTGTCACCTCGGGGAGCACCAGGAAGAGCAACTGAGCACCGCAGGGTGTGGCCCCCGAACATCTAAGACCCGTCGGGCTGGGGGCCCTTCCCCGGCCGGGGCACCCCCCGGGTCACGGAGGGCGGGTGGGCTCCGCATTGGCTCCGGGCTGGGTCAGCCGAGGGGGCGAAGGGCAGGTCCGCGCACCCCTCCTCCGCGTGCGCCCTCGCGCCCGGCACTGGGGCAGCTTCCGGTGCCCGGGGGTAGGTGGCCCCGGGACGAGGACAGATCGCGGCGGGGCGAGGTGGGCTGCCCAGCGCCCCAGCTGCCCGCTTAGTCCCCGGCCTCCGCGTCCGCTCGCACCGCCCACTTCCGCTTCCGTAGCGGCGGCCCCGCCCCCGGACCTAAGCACCGCCTCCTCTTAAAGGGACCGCGCACCACCTGGAGGTCTTGAACTAGGGCTGAGAGCAAGGTGGGTGGATCTAAGCTTCTCGCCACCTGATCCAGAGGTGGACACAGGACACGTGCCTGGGCACCTCCTCCGGCTGGGAGAGCCTCCCTTGAGGGCCACAGAGGTCACCCCCAAAAGATGGGGGGTCCCTTAGTTTTCTTTGTGGCCTTCTGGGTCACACCCGGCGATGCACAGGGGTTCCTCCTGGCTCATGCACTCAGGAATTACTCCTGGCGGTGCTCGGGGGATCCAATGGGACGCTGGGAATCGAACCCGGGTCGGCCGCGTGCAAGGCAAACGCCCTACCCGCTGTGCTACCACTCCAGCCCCCCTTCCTTCGCTTTCTATTGGCAAAGGGAACAAGTGGCAGTGCTCACCTGCTCCAACTCATTGTCCTCGTGGGTTACTGTGAGGAAGGGGGCAGCCGGGATTGTCTTGAAGACCAGGGTCCAGCCCAGCTCAGGGCCAGCAGGGTCCTCGGCTCAATGCTGCCCGCTCCTGGACCACCTGGGCCCCAGCAGCTTCAGGGTGCCCTGGTCCGTTCTCACCTTTCCTTCACCTTTCCTCTACCAGTGACATGGCTTGTGTGTGATGGGAACGTGGGGGCAAAGCCTGGGCCCCTCCCCAAACTGCTGAGTCTGTCACACATGAGCCATTAAAGGAAGCAGAGGAACCCTAAAATTTTAAATCTTTAATTTGTGTTCATGTTTTATCTTTCTTTTTTCGCTTCTCAAAAGAAGGGTGAGCAGGGCGCTGTCACCTGGACATCGTCCGCAGCCCCTGGACAGGGGTTAAGTCCTGGCCCACCTGCCTGGTGGGGCTGCCTGAGGGGCCTGGGGGCATCCGAGGGGTTCACATGCAGCCCCCCCCACGGATATGGGGGGGGTGGCAGGACAAGGTCCGAGGGCCGCCTTATTGCTGAGGTCCGGGCTCCGCGGCTGGGCGCGCTCCTCGTGCCGCTGGCCACCTACGCACGCCGGCTGGGCAGCTCCTGGGAGATGAAGCGCCGCAGCCGTTCCAGGTACTGGCTGTAGAGCTCGATGTCGTTGTGCCCCGCCCCCTCCACCCACAGCGGCTCTACGGCCTTGGGGCAGCGTTCGTAGAGGGCCAGCCCGTGCGAGAAGTCGATCACCTCGTCCTCCGTGCCATGGATGATGAGCACCGGCGACGTGATCTTGGACACCTTCTCGATGCTGCGGGGGTGGACAGGCAGGTACCAGGCATCAGGCCCCGCCCACCGCCTCCCAAGCCCCGCCCACCGCCTCCCAAGCCCCGCCCACCGCCTCCCAAGCCCCGCCCCACCGCACCCCCCAACCCGGAGCTGGCGCTCAGCTGGGGCTCACTTGGGGAATGCGTCAAAGCAGTAGGTCTTCTTGGTGTCAGGGAAGGCGACACGCATGCCCGAGGTCAGCGGGGAGTGCAGGATCACGGCCGCGCACTCATAGCGAGAGGCCAGGTCCACAGTGGGCACCGTGCCGATGCTCTGCCCGTACAGGACGATGCTGTCCGGGCTGATGCCGTACCTGGAGGGGCGGGATGGCCCGGTTCAGCAGGGGGGCGCGTGCCCGGCTCCCAGGGTAGTCCTCCTGCCATTGGGAGGGCACAGCCCCGCCACCCCACGCTCACACCGGTGCACACCGGTGAGGGCTTAGCAGGACGGGACGGGAAGTCACCGCGCACAGCCCCCCAACCCCAACCCTCCTTTGGCTCTACCAGGGAAGTCACAGCTGCGCAAGGCGGCCCCAGTTTTCCCATGAGACCTACTCACATCGCTCACTGGGGTGGGGGTGTGAGCCTGTGGGGAGTCCTGAGCCCCCGGCTCACCCCACCCCCATAACCTGCCCGTCCCTGCACCCGGGATTAGAGCACAGTCCACTCACCCAGCTCCCCGGGGTCCGGATGGCCCGCAGGTGCCCCGCACCCACCTGGGCTAAGCTTGGTTATAAGCCAGCGCCTGGCCCCGCCCCCGCAGGGCTGACCCAGCCCAGGGTCGCCCAAGGGTGCCTGCAGGTGCCCGCCAGAAACATCTCCTCCCGGAAGACTCTGCTTTTTCTTTTGGAGGTGGGGGGGAATGGGGATGGCGGGCAGTGGCAGCAGCTTAAGGCAGCCGGGCAGGAGGGTTTGCCGGATAAGCCCGGAACCCGCCAGAAGAGGGTATCGCACCGCCAGGAGCCCCGGCCCACGGGGACGTGGGCCTGAGCAACAGTGACAGCGACAGGGACCTGCCGGCTGCCCAGGAAACCTGCCAGACAGCCCGAAGCGTCTCCAGAGGGGCAGGGTCCCTGAGGGCGGCTCAGCAGCCGGCAGCACCTCCAGGAAGGTCAGGCTAGAAAGGGCCCCGGGGATTGCAGCCGTCCGCTCTGCGCATGCGCCAGGGAGAACCCCACCCCCACCCCCACCCCGTCCCACGGAGATGCCCCGCAGAGCTTCCCTGGCGCAGAGGGGGGCCCCTCACCGCGTGCGCAGCGCCTGCCAGGCGGCGTCGATGTCGGCATACAGGTTCTTCTCGGAGGGCCGGCCCGAGCTGACACCATATCCCGAGTAGTCGTAGGAGAAAATGTTGCAGTTGATGCGGGTGCCCAGCCCCAGGTAGAAGCTGCTCATCTGGCCCAGGTCGACGGCGTTGCCGTGCGAAAAGAGCACCGTGTACCTGGGTGAGGGGGGCGAGGGGCGGAGCCACCGCCAGTTCAGGGACCAGCTCAGGGGTCAGCCCCCAGCGCCCCAGGCCAGCTCAGGGCCCAGCCTGTAGAGCCCCAGGCCACCTCGGGAACTAGCTCAGGGATCAGCCTGCAGCACCCAGGGGCCAGCTCAGGGGTCAGCCCTCAGTGCCCCAGGCCAGCTCAGGAACCAGGTCAGGGGTCAGCCCGCCACACCCTGGGCCAGCTCAGGGACCAGCTAAGGGAGGGGTCGGCCCACAGCAGGCTTTGCCTCCAGGAAAAGGGTCACTGGGTCCACTGGTGGCCTTCTTGGCCCGGGGGCAGCCTGACAGCCACTGGGGGTCTCTCTGCTTGGAGACTCCCCCCCCCCCTTTTTTTTTTTTTTTTGCAGAGGAGTGGGGAGGGAAGAGGCCACACCTGGCTGTGCTCAGGGATCACACCTGGCCGGTTGGGGATGGAACAGCCCTAAGCCAAGCACCCTGCCCACTGTCCTCTCTCCAGCTCTGCTTCCCCTTCCCCCCGCCCCCGCCTCTGGGTCGAACCCGGCAGTGATTGGGGTGCCAACGGAACTCCCCTGCAAGGTCAGCGGTTTTTGGCGCCTGGCTCTGCGCTCCCCTCCATGGGCAGGGCTGTCCTCACCCTGTCTCCACACAGCCACCCCGCCAGCAGTCTCGTCAGCTCTGGGGTACAGGCTTGGCTTCCTTTTGTGTGTGTGTGGGGGGGGGGGGGGCGAGGGGTTTGCCCACACCCTGCGATGCTCAGGGATAACTCCTGGCTCTGCACTCAGGGTTCACTCCTGGAGGGGACCGGGGGACCCTACGGGGTTGCCTGGGGATCAAACTCCGGTCAGCCACACGTAAGACAAGAGCCCTCCCCACTGTCCTATGTCTCTGGCCCCAAGGGGCACTTGGTTCGTGTCCCGGTGGTCTGAGAAGCCCTGGACAGGATCCATCCTGGGTGCAGTGGCATGCCCCCGCCCAGCCCTCAGCCTCTGCCCTTTGGACTCTGCTAGGGTGTGCCCAGGAAGGGCCCACAGCTGTCCCTGCTGAACCCCCCCACCCCACCCCCAGGAAGAACCCCCTCTCCCAGGCCCTACGGAGGGGAGAAGAGAACGTACCCAAGCCCCAAAGCAGTGCCCCAAGGGACACCCGGCCCCCGGGGGACCGACCCTGGGCAGGCGAGCACCCGGGCCGACGGGTCTCACCTGGCACTGGGCACGCAGCGCACGTACATGCAGGCCACCCGGTTCCCGCGGCTGCTCTTGGTCACGAAGACCTCGATGGTGTCCAGCTCGCGCTGGCCGTACTGGAAGTCAGCGCGTTCCAGCAGATGCAGCTTCCAGCGCCCGGGATTGCTGGTCGAGCGGGAGCCCGAGGACGTGGTGCTCGAGCCCCCAGGGGCTGGCTCGGGCTCCGGCAGGAACGAGTAGGTGGGCTCGGGCGGCAGGAAGGCCAGCTTGGCGGCGATGCGGCCAGGGCACGGCGGGCAGCAGAACAGACAGCACAGCTCGGTCACCGACAGGCCGTTCATGGCGGGCGCCGGGCCCCGGGGGCGGGCTGCTCACGGCTCGGGAGGAGGGACGGGGGTGCTCCGAGACCAGGGCCGGGGGGAGGGCACCCCCAGGCCGCCGCCCCAGACAAGAGCCCCGTTAGGGGGCCACAGCCCAGCCCCATCGTGGTCCAAGTCGAGCCCCCGGGAGCCTGGCAGCTACACGTGTCCATGTTCTGATGACGGAAAGCCTGTGGGGGGGGGGGGGACAGCGAGGTGAGACGCGGGGTTCTCCCGGGGTCCCCCGAGTAGCCGCCTCCTGCCCCCTCCCAGTCCCAGCTTCAAGCTGCCCTCTGCAGAGACCCGGGACTCCCCGCCTCCCCCCCACCTTTGCAAGACCCAACCCTGAGCATGTCCCCCCGCCCCCCACCCCAAGGCCAGAGTCACCAATGCGTGACCAATGTGTGACCAATGGGAGGACACTCGGGCCCACGAGCCTCCCCGGTCCAGCCCCGTGAAGCCCCCCCCCCCCTCCATGCAGGGATCCATCAGGCACACCAGGTGACGAAGAGAAGCGGGTGGCAGGGGGAGGGACCAGGTCAAGGAAACAGACAAGGCCTGGGAACAAAAACAGGATGTGCTTGTGGCTGGGGCCCCCGGTGTCCTTGTGCTCCAAGTGGCCAGCCTGGGTGGGCCCTGGGGAGGGCACGGGAATGCCTCCCCCTACCACTACAGACCCTAGGGCAGCAGTTCTGAGGCATTTCCACATGCTGGAAATATTCCTAGTGGCAGTAGGAAAGCAAGAACTCTCGGGAAACACACACACACACACATACACACACACACACACCCTCCCCTCCCAAGATCACTGTCCTTTTTTTTTTTTTCCCCTTTTTGGGTCACACCCAGCGATGCACACAGAGGGCTTACTCCTGGCTCATGCGCTCAGGAATCACTCCTGGCGGTGCTCAGGGGACCATATGGGATGCTGGGAATCGAACCCAGGTCAGCCGCGTGCAAGGCAAACGCCCTCCCTGCTGTGTTCCAGAGCACTGTCCTTAAAGCGGCTCTGGGCAACGGTCCCGGCTCAAGGCCGGACTACACAGGGCATCCCCTGGGCACTGCCCCACCTGAACGCCCTGGGCCCAGATCTGCACGACTCTCCAAGCAGGCTGCCAACCGGAACCCCAAGAAGGGACAGGCTGCTCAATGGGCCCCCAGATGAAGGGGCGAGCGGGGGTGTCCGGTAGAAAGCCCAAGGCAGTCTGCGCCCACAAGACTGAGCAGTGGTGGGGGCAGGACTGGGAGGGCCACACCAAGGGGACAGCGGAGCCTTCGGGACCTCAGGCCAGAAGCGATGCTCTCTGAGACCACAGCCTGTCCGACAGCTTTACCTGCCAATGCCCTCCCCGCCCCGCTGGGCTGGGGGAGGGGCGTGCCAGGGAGAATTGAGTGGCCAGAAGCCAGGGACACAGCTGGACATCCCCAGCCCAGCACTGTCAGCCCGGAAACAGCCCCCAAGCCCCAGCTCACCGCAGATGCATACTTGCAGTGAACGCAAGGGGCCTGACCCGGGACCCTGGGGGCACCGAGCCCAGAGAACAAACGAGCCCGCCAGTGTGGTCACAGGGAGCAAGGTGGAGAATTAGGGGGCCCCCTTCCCCCCTCGTATCTCACTGCTCCCCTAGAGCCCCTTACGCAGCGGGTACTGGGGCTCCACCTGCTTTTCCAAAATCCCAGTCAACTTCCATCTGGTCTCTGCACCCACCAATCCCCCCCTCCGAGATTCTTCTCCAGTTCCAGCCTCCTCCACCAAGCAGCTTTTTTTTTTGGGGGGGGGGGGGAGCAGGGAGGGGGAGAACCCAGGGTTTCTCTGAATGTTCAGCAGAGAGAGCAAACGTCTGGCCACAGCTGACCACCCCTCACCTGCCCACCTTGTTAAGTTCCCAGAGGGGTCCCGCTGGCCCTCCTGAACACACAGCTGGCAGAGCCCTGGGCCCTCCCGTGGACCCCTTGGCCACGGAACTGCACCGCTTCCATCTGGGACCACCTGGGCCCCAGCATGGCCTGGGCACGCGAGCGCGATGACCCAGGGCAAGTCCAGCAATGGTAACGGCCTTCCTGGCCCGGGTGGTAGGCAGGTGGAGTGTGGGGGGGGGAACCCACGGGGACGCAGAAGGGCCAGGAAAGCTGTCGAGAGTTGGTCCGCGTGACAGCCCGTTCCAGAAAACGGCAGGTCCCCAGGGCTGCGCCTAACGCGAGAGCCACAGGGGTGCAGAAGGGTCCGGGGTGCAGAAGGGTCCCGGGCGCTGGGGGCAGAGGGGGCCGGGCGCTGGGCACCGCCGAGCTCCGGGCTTGGGACGCGCCCAGGTGGCACAGCCGGTCACCGTGTCCGGCCGGCCCGAGGGCGCCTGGGAAAACACAGAAGTCGGGGAGTCGTTTACAAAGCTGGGTGCGGCTGCCGGACTGGTCAGGGGGCACAGTCCAAGCCCGGGCGGCGCGGGGCGGGGCGGGGGGCCGTGGCCGGGGGGGGAGTGGGCGCTCCGGGTCCGCCCGCCCCCACCTCTGGCCCGGACTTCTCCAGCCGGGATGGACGGACAGCCGCCCGCAGGAGAGCGGGGTCTCGGGGTGGGGGTGGGGGCGGGGTGGGGGGCGCTGGACTGGGCTGGACATCTCAGGCCTCGCGGCCCGGCCGGACAGCCCCCCCCCCCACCAAACGGCCGCTGGACGCTCTGAGTCCGCGTCCCGGGTCCGCTTCGACCCGCTACTCACCGTCCCGGCCCGCGCTCCCCGGCCTCCGGGCCGCGCTCCATGACTCCCGGCTCGCCCGCCCCAGCGTCCGTCAGTCCCCCGGCGCCCGGGCCCAGCCTCCTGCGCCGCCGCCGCCGCCGCCGCCACCGCCGCCGCTCCCCCGCGGGCGGAAGTGAGCCTCCCGCGAGGTCCCGCCCCGGAAGTGACGCGCGGGCGCGCGCGGGGACTGGAGCTGCCGAGGCCCGGTGCGGGTCTGGGGGCGTGGCCTGCTGTGATGGGCGGGGTTGCTGGGCGGGGCTTTGCAAGTGGGCGTGTTTGAATCATTCATTAGTTCGTTCTTTTTTTTTTTTTCTTATGCTTTTTGGGTCGCACCCGGCGATGCTCAGGGGTTCCTCCTGGCTCCGCACTCAGGAATTACTCCTGGCGGTGCACGGAGGACCATATGGGATGCCGGGAATCGAACCCGGGTCGGCTGCATGCAAGGCAAACGCCCTATGCGCTGTAATTATCGCTCCAGCCCTTCAGTTCCTTCTTTTCTCTTTTTTTTTTTTTTGGTGGGGGGGAGGCACGCCCGGCAGTGCTCAGGGATTGCTCCCTGTTCTGTGATCAACTCGGGGGAACAGCCAGGGCTAGAACCCAGGATGGCCTGGGGACCAAGGGAACTGCTTTCCCAACAGCCACTTTCGTTCTTTCATGTCTGGGCCAATACAGGGTTGGAGACGAGAGAGGATTCACTCAGCAATAAAACTTAGAAGGATGAAAAGAGAAAAATTAATATATTATTATATTATATATCAATATAATAAATGCTAGGGCTGGAGCGATAGCACAGCGGTAGGGCGTTTGTCTTGTGCACAGCCACCCTGGCTGAGCCGGGTTCGATTCCTCCGCCCCTTTCGGAGAGCCTGGCAAGCTACCGAGAGTATCTGACCCGCATAGTAAAGCCTGGCAAGCTACGCGTGATGTATTCAATATACCAAACACAGTAACAAGTCTCAAAAGGGAGACATTACTGGGCCTGCTCGAGCAAATCGATGAACAATGGGAGGACAGTGATACAGTGATAATAAATGCTGGGGGGTGGGAAATCTTTAAAATGAGGACAGTGTGAGGGCCAGAGTGATAAGTGGGGAGGGCGTTTGCACACAGCTGACCTGAATCCGATTCTGCACATCCCACAGGGTCCCCAGAGCACTGCCACACATGGTCCCTGAGCACAGAACCAGGAGGAAACCCTGACCACTGTAGGGTGTGGTAGGGGTTGGGCGGGAAGTTTGGAGGCAGAGAGATAAACTGATACCCTGCAGGAATGCACAGCAGGGTGAGGCCAAAAAAAAAAACAAACAACAAAAAATTGTCAAAAATTTCAGTGGAGGGGCTGGAGCAATAGCACAGTGGGTAGGGCGTTTGCCTTGCACGCAGCCAACCTGGGTTCAATTCCCAGCATCCTGTATGGTCCCCTGAGCACCTCCAGTGGTAATTCCTGAGTGCAGAGCCAGGAGGAACCCCTGTGCATCGCCGGGTGTGACCCAAAAAAAGAAAACAAAAAATTTCAGTGGATTCAAGACCTGATTTGAAGGCCCGTGAGGCACTGTCAGATCTGGCCTTAAGCACTGTGTTCCTGGGCTCCAGTGATACTACAGTGGGGAGGGCATTTGCTTGGCATGCAGCCGACCCAAATTGGATCCCAGGCATCCCCTAGGGTCCCCCACCAAAGCACCGCCAGGAGTAATCCTGAGCGCAGAACCAGGTGTAATCCCTAAGCATCGTCCAGTGTGACCAAAAAAGCAAAATAAATAAATAATCACTATGTTCCTCATGAGTTCTCAGGTTTCATTTCAGCTTTTCGATATTGCAGTAAAGAATGACAAATCTAAAAGCAACCGATGCTGGCGTGGATGTGGCGAGAAAGGGACACTCCTTCACTGTTGGTGGGAATGTCCACTGGTTCAGCCCTTCTGGAAAACAGTATGGACGATTCTCAAAAAATTAGAAATTGAGCTCCCATTTGACCCAGCAATACCACTCCTGGGAATATATCCCAGAGAGGCAAAAATGTATAGTCAAAGTGACATCTGCACTTGTTTGTTCATTGCAGCGCTCTTTACAATAGCCAGAAACTGGAAGAAACCTGAATGCCCAAGAACAGATGACTGGTTAAAGAAACTTTGGTACATCTACACAATGGAGTACTATGTAGCTGTTAGAAAAGATGAAGTCATGAAATTTACATACAAGTGGTACAATATGGAAAGTATCATGCTAAGCGAAATGAGTCAGAAAGAGAGGGATAGACATAGAAAGATTGGATTCATCTGGGGGTTATAAAGTAACAAAATATTAGATTAATACCCAACGATAGCTGAGATCAGCACCAGGAGGATTAGTCCATAGCTTAGAGGTCAGCCCGGTATCCTAGAGGAAAGGGCAGTTCAGATAGAGAAGGGAGCACCAAATAAAGGATGTTTGGAGGATCCTCCCAGGAGGGGAGATGCATGTCGAAAGTAGACTATGGACTGAACATGTTTGCCACTCAATGCCTCTTTTGCAGACCACAACACCCAAAAGGAGAGAGAGAACACAGGGGATTGCCCTGCCACAGAGACAGGGGGGATGGGGGGATGGGGGTGGGAGGGATATTATCCATGGTGGTGGAAAATGGGCACTGGTGGAGGGATGGGTATCTGATCATTGTATAATTGAAACCAAAGCACAAAAAATTGTAAATCTACAACTTAAAAAAAAATAAAATAAAATAAAGGGAAAAAAAAAAAAAGAAAGTGCAAACCAAAAAAAAAAAAAAAAAGAATGACAAATCTGAGCTTGGAGGCATCCATCCCCGTGTATCAATCATGGAGATGGAAGAGAGAGGAAAAGATAAGGATTAAAAATGAGAAAGTCATGGGGCTGGAGTACAACGGGTAGGGCATTTGCCTTGCACGCAGCCAACCCCGGTTCTATTCCCAGCATCCCATATGGTCATATGGTCCATATAAGCACCATCACCAGGGGTCATTCCCGAGTGCAAAGCCAGGAGTAACCCCTGTGCATCGCCGGGTGTGACCCAAAAAAAGGAAAAAAAAAAAAGAGAAAGTCCCTGGGTCTGGAGAGGTAGGACAGCAGTCGGGTCACTTGCACTGGTCAAGGCTGACAGGGTTCAACTCCCGGCGTCCCATATCGCTCTCCAAGTGCCACCAGGTGTGATCCCTGAATAGTCAACCCTTAGCACCACGAGGTGAGGCCCTCAAACCAGAAAATAATAATAATAAATGCTCTATCTGATTCAGAGTGGTGAATAAGGGGGGACTGGCTCTCTTTACACCCCTAGTTCTGCCCATGAATTTCCCCCTAGTCCCCCGCCCACACACAGGTGTCTTCCACCCACCTCCTGCCCACCCCACCCCCAGCAGGCAGCTTCAACCCCCCAGCCCTCCCCTCTAACCTTCCTTTACTGTAATCCTTAACTTAAAATCACAGAGATAAGCCTGAAGCTCTGACCTTCCCAGCTAGACCTCCCCGAGGGCCTCAGGCCTGGATCAGAATTGCTGAATTTTCCCTGTGTTTACTTGCTCTGTAAATCAGGGACGCTGTCTCATTTGCCAAGACATCAAAAATCAGATGGGCTAGACACGTAATGAGGTTTACAGACAACCGCTGGACTAGAGCCATTACTGATTGGATTCCACGGGACATCAAAAGATCACGTGGACGCCCACCTATAAGATGGTCAGACTTCTTCGTCAAGACCCTAAATGATCGGTTTGAGGCTCTACATGTTCCTAAAACGAACAGATACCATTGGGCTACGCTAGCACGCAACCGGGATGAATGGAGACGTTACTGGCACCCGCTCGAATAAATCGATGAATAACGGGGATTAAGTGATTAAGTGATTAAGTGATTACTTGCTCTGCTCTGTTTGGGGACCCACACATGGCAGTGCTTAGGGCTTACTCCTGGCTCTGTGCTCAGAGATCTCTCCTGGCGGGGCCCAGGAAACCCCCGTGGGATAGCAAGGATCAAACCCGGGTCAGTCGCTTGCAAGTCAAACGCCCTCCCCACTGTGTTATAGCTTGAGTATCATGCCCAGAGTGATAGCATAGCGGGTCGGGCGTTTGCCTTGCACGCGGCCGACCTGGGTTCAACTCCTCCGCCCCCCTCGGGGAGCCTGGCAAGCTACCGAGAGTATCTCGCCTGCGCTGCAAAGCCTGGCAAGCTACTCGTGATGTATTCGATATGCCAAAAACAGTAACAAGTCCCACAAGGGAGACGTTACTGGTGCCCGCTCGAGCAAATCGATGAACAACGGGAGGACAGTGCTATACAGTGCTATCATGCCCATACTTGAATGCAAGTCAACCCTCCCACCTCCTCCAGAATATGGGGGAACCCCATTTTCTATGTCTGGCTACCCCCCTTCCCCCCACAGGCTCCCAAGCGTCAGCTCAAGTCCCTTGAGTTCCAAAAGTCACAGGAAACCAAGCTCCTTCCTTTCTTTCCTTCCTTCCTGGTGCCTCTCCAAGCAGGAAGAATCTGTCACCCGGCTCCTTCCTCAGGCTCCAGCATGTCCCCCTTCTGTCCCGTCTCACTGTGCAGTAGAAAGAAGGGCCAGAACTCCACTGCCCTGGAGACCACTTATATCTCTTTGCTCGCTGGCAAGAGAAAGGATGGATCTGTTTTCCCTCAATGTGGCCAAACAGGACATTTTTGCCAAGATCCAGACTCTGCAGAAAGTCCCCAGTGGTAGACTCAGCGATAGTACAGCAGGTACTACAACAGCTGGCCTTGCAAAAGTTGACCCAGGTTTATTTATTTATGTATTTTGCTTTTTGGGGGGTCATACCCAGCAATGCTCAGGGGTTCCTCCTGCCTCTGCACTCAGGTGTTAACTCCTGGCAGTGCTCAGGGCACCCTCTGGGATGCCGAGGATTGAACCCAGGTTAGTCACGTGCAAGGCAAACACCCTCCCCACTGTTCTATCACTCCAGCCCTAGTTGACCCAGGTTGGATACCTGGTACTACTTATGGTCCCCTGGGCCCCACCAGGAGTGACCCTTGGGCACAGAGCCAGGAGTAAGCCTTGAGCACCACTGGATGTGATTTAAAAACCAAAAAAAGCAGGGGCTGGAGTGATAGCACAGCGGGTAGGGCGTTTGCCTTGCACACGGT